AGATTGTCTAAATCCTTTCAGGGGTGGGGTAGCAGTACTGTAATTGCCCTTCACTTCTGAGAATCTCTAGATTGTCTAAATCCTTTCAGGGGTGGTGTAGCAGTACTGTAATTGCCCCTCACTTCTGAGGTCTTAGATCTCAGGAAGTGGGATTTCTAGACTCGGCTTCACACTTCGGTAGAGCGTGTAAGTTACCAGAAAAAAATAAGTGGTTCTATCCTAATCTCCACAGCCCCCTCTCCCAACTCCGTAAGCCACTGATTAACGAGGCCTTAGATCAGTACAGAAGTTATTTTAGCAATGGAAAAAGTAGTGCAACAGCTTTTTATGAGCCCCTTTAACAATTATCTTCTGTGCGCGGCTAAAACAGGAAACGACAACAGAAATTGCACTCTTTTTTGGTGCAATTTGTGGCTTTTCTTTTATATTGCCCTGCTTCGTCTATTTATAGTAGATAATGTATCTAGGAATAGAACTAGGAGTCGAATGACGGGACTATACGACAACAAAAAACAACTTATACGTGCTTGAAAACACCGAACAGCGGCAAACGGCCAAGCTGACAAACTGACTTACTATAGTTTGAGATCTCGTTCATTGTCGCGTCAATATAGGTCACGTTTATGTTCGTGAAAAGTCTGATAGTGCAGTTTTCGTGTGACTGTGAAAAGCTCAGTGCCGTAAGCGTAACGTGCCGTGACCGTGATACTTTCTAGAATTTTAATTGGCTGATTTTTTTTTCACGCGGAATATGATTGGTCTAAAAGTGCCGTGATCTTGGCGTGACCGTGTCCGCGCCGTGTTCCTGATATTTGATTGGATGGAGAGTAAATTCTCGTGCACTGTGATTTGTCTGGCGTATCCTTTGCTGTGTCACGACCGTTGCGTTAAACCTCAAGAGGATCAGAGGATTAGTAGATATTGAGTTCCTTAGAATCGATCATAAAGTGAGTAGTGAAATCTTCCTATTATTGCCGAAATGTAGAAACGTCGTATAATATTATGATATATAATTCTTATTCCTACCATTATATGTATTTGTTGATCCACGTGTTTGAAGTGAATATCGGGAAATATTTACCGAGACGCGAGTCTTCGAGCTGCGAGGTAAATATTATCCGATATTCACTGAGAATGAGGCAAATAATTGCTTTAGTATAAATAGAAACCTTTATCTACACAGGGTTATCCAGTCAAATATACAAAATGCAATCTCATATCAAAAGGACCCCTAAAATAAATACAATATAAAGAAAACAATGTATATATATATATAACGATATATGAAAGTACAATAAAAATCTAACAATAAAATTATCTATATAAATACTAGAATAAATATCGAAAATATTGAATAAAAATTTACTTCTTATTTTCTAAAATAAAACTATTGTAAACTAATGAGCCATTATAATAAAAGCCTTTCTTGGCGGTCTCGGTTCGTACTGACGGCAAATATATAAATTCACTTCTTCTCGTGGCTCTACATACACAGGTGATTCTTTCAACAACAAAAAAAAGGAAAAAAAGGAGATAAAAGACATTTTTTCCCGGTAACAGCAACAAAGCGGCTGGCCGCCATTTTGGATTATCGCTGGAGGTGATTATCGTGTGATAAACTGAGTTTCTCGACCAATCAGCGCGCGAGATTTTCAATAACCACCTGTGTATTTTTACTAACATAAAATTAAATACCTGTTATGAATCTCGCGTTCTGATTGGATGGGAGTGCGTGCATGATTTATGAGAGCATTTAGCACGTGCGCGCACTTTCTATTTTGTCAATAAACCGACTTTATACAGAACGCGCGGGAGCGCATCTTCTATTGCTTGAATACCGTCTTCTTCTATCTATTGCTAGGCCTTATGACCTAACTTTTCGATTTATTTTTATCGAATCGTATGAAATATAGTTTTCTTATTGTTATCATCATCGTCAGTCGTCGTCACCGTCATACTTTTTTATCCATAATCAATTCTAGAAGAATTCATTTATATTTTCAAAAAATCATTATAGAATATGCTTTTCAAATGACATCATTTAATTCCTTTTGACAACAAACGTTCAAAAGCCGGAACATAATCGTATAAGACCTGATTTATGCCTGTGATCTGCCGAAAATCTCGTAAGCTCCACCGAGAGGGTCTTTCCTGTAAAACTGATTGATTATATTTGATTATCAGAATCGTAAATAAAGTTAAAAGTGCCTCAGAATTGTGCGCGATTTATCCGTTTAATGACAAGAAGCCCGAAAAATTTGAGCGATCGTTTACTACACGAATAATATGTTTTAACCGTAGCTACTTTAGATTGTTACACAAATATTACACCCAACTTATTTGTTTTCTAGTTAGCCAATCAGACATCGAGGATTGTGCAATATTTAAAACTATTGAGTGCTTTTTTTGAAAAAAAAAAAAACGTAAATAAATGACTAGGAATTTGCCTAGATAATACCTATTTTGGTCCTATTGCTGCCTACCACTGGATACTTTCGTAAAAGGTTTATTATAATTGATGGAAGCACTCGGCGGTAAAGGATTCAACGGGCATTGGTAAAAAATAAGTTGGGTGGCCACGATTAGGCGCGTGGCATTGTAAATCCGATTACCTGTAGGCCGCTTTCTGACCTTGGCAAAAATGACATTTTCAATACACAAGTTCAGCCGGGAGCTATAGTGACTACGATATTTTGTGTTAGTATAACTGATATCTCTGTTCAAACAGCGCGATGCGTTTTAGCATGAAACGCCAAAGGACTAGATAATGCATTTTTATTTACACATTTCTGTTAAGCTGTCTATCAAATAAACTTTATCTTGGCTTTATTGACTTTTCTAGCGAGTGCGCTGTATCTTATCTTGATATTTAATCATGTTTTTCCCCTGATTCCTAAAAATATATTGCGCGACCTTAAAGGTATTTTATTTTTATCATAGATTGTGTATTTAGAGATTTGTTTTTAAAAACAGTTTTTATCTGAAAACATTGCCCCAAAACCGACCACACCATACCGTTGTTAAAGAGGTGACCGCCTCGCTTGCTCTTTCGAAATTTAATCAGTCTGTATATATGTGGAAGAAATCGAACTATCCAAAACCGACCATCAAATTTTTAATAAGAATTCACTTCCATCGTTTTCAGATTTATCAAGCTTTATCTCTTTAGGATATTTCCCGATAACCCTTCGAAAACCGATCTACCACACCTAGTTAATGAGGAACTGCACCTTTGCTCGTTTTGAAATTATTATGACTCATCATCCTTAGAACATCGTCCAAAAACCTCCAAAAACTGACCACGCCTAGTTAATAAAAGAGGAACTACAGCTTTGCTTATTATGACTCATCGTCCTTATATAGAACGTCGTCCAAAAACCTCCAAAAATCAACCACATCTGGTTAATAAAAAAATAGGAACCGCTTCAATTGTACTAGATTTATTCAGCTTGGATTTCGTTCACTTCTTATTCAAACTCTAGAATTCTACTACAGTTTCCTAGCCAACCGGTCTCTTTGTTGTTACCCGACTGTAGACAAACCGCTGATGAGAGTGGCAACTGATATTTACCTAAGCTGCTTGCTTACATTCATTGCTAGAATCCCGCAATGTTCTAGAAAGTACCAAAGGGACGTTTAAACCTTTCCGAAACAAAGTGTTTTTATTTAGAATTTTAGCTTGCTGTATTTGTAAACATCTTCGTTCTTTAAGCAATTATGAAAAAAAAAATTGTAGAGGAGGGGGAGGTAACGTTCCAAGTCGTTGTCCAAGTTTTTATCGACATGGTATTAAATTATAAATACGTATATAAACTGATAATAAACTAATAGTGATTACTAGTTGGGACTTCATTTCTGTGGAATACGACTTGAGTGAATATTTATTTATTATTATTGATTTATAATAATATTTAAACAGGGCAAGGAACATTTGATTGGATACAAAAATGTATACGTAATCAACTAGTTAAATTATATCTATTTTGGGTCAGTAAGATCGATGAGTGGGTGGAAATTAATTGTCCACATTTTTAATCCCATACGATTTCCTTGAGTATTATGATTTTATCTTCACATAATGGAAAATCTGAAGTTTCATAGTTGAAAGTGTATACAGCTATTTCAAAAAAAGGTTGATGAAGATTTTGTTCCATGTTAAATACAAGCCCGAATTGCATCATGGGCGATGTGAAATCAATCAGCGAAGAACGAAAAAAAAATTTTTCCCTAAGCTTTGTCTGTACGTTTTTCCGTCATAAATTCTTCTGTGCTGTCATTATTTACATATCAATATAATACATTTTCAAGCTTAGTAAGCAACATGCAACAAATCTTTCACCATTTTGAAATAGCTGTATAATTGTAAATCCAAACCCTGCCTTGATGTGACAACATGTATGTGGTAAAGTACCTTAAGATGCAGGTGAAATTCTCATGTTCGCAAATTGTGTCATAAAATGCAAAACCTTTACAAATAAAAAATCCTTCCATGACACACACACAAAAAAAAAAACTGTTCATAATTAAATATTATTTGAACATTCTAAAATTTCCGAATTAAATTCACTTTACGTCAAATCAATCGTTCCGGGAAAAAATTTAAATCATTTTTTCCTTCTAGAAAATACTGAGTTCCTAATAGTGTCGATTAAACGATGTCACCCGTCAAGTGAACGGTGACTTGTCTTTCGCTAAAGTTTTGACAGATTTCTATCTCAACAAGTGAAGTCCTCTAAGAATAAATATAAACCACAAACTACGGAATAAATAGCAAGCAAGTTTAAAAATATATATGTGTGATGAGTTGACAAAACCGTACATGACTTTTGGATGAGAAATACAGATTTCATATCCTTTTTGAATTAAAGTCTTCAAAGCTGACCTAAATTGAATTTTCTATATTTGAATTTTTCATTTTCGTTCTTTGCTTTTAGCTGAATTAGCTTGAATTTATAGAGCTTTTTAGATTTATTTAAGCCATAGGGGGTAAGTTTGATGAATGTTTTATTTGGAAAAAAGAAAAAAAATTACGAAAAAGAAAAAAATATATGATGATGAGAGAAGAACGCGATGGCGGAGAAGCTATCGTTTATAGGGTTTGTTTTTCTAAGGTGTGTATTCACGGTTGATATTCGTAAATACAGCGGATATGAAACCCAGTTACGACGTTCAATGCTTAATGTCATCTTGAACTAGCAATATCCGTAAACATAAATAGACTTTAAATTAGAGAATCGATTTTATCGGACGAAAATTATGTATATTTTTTTCTTCTCCTATTTTCTTTTCTTCCATGTGTCAGTTTGTCGTTTCTGTCATCCGAATTCAATACCCAACTTTATTAAGAAATATTCTATAATACAGACGGCTATACTACTTGTATACAGTATGTCTTTGGTATAGAAAGATGCTTGAATGACTGGATGAATATTTTATGGCCCTTTTCTTGGCGTACTTTGGTCGTAAGATTACGGTCTGATTCCAGCCAATCACATGAGGCTTCATTGTCCGGTCGTTACAGATTGACTGTAAATCGAAATTCATTTTGAATCACTGTTTCATTCATTTGATTTCACAGAGAAAATAACCAACTCTGAAAATTTCCAGCATTGCTTTATTCATCGTAGCTTCCATAGGGCATATTTTATATTATCATGATGCTCGCAAAGACAGGATATCTTGAAGTCTTGACCGAGTCATTTCGTCGACAACATTTGGACGACACGACTCTCAGAAGTGAATGCTATGGTACCGGTAATTTACGGAGCGCCTTGGAACTACAGCCGTATAGAATTTCGACTCGTAAATCTATACTCAATAACTGCAAAGAAAAGGGAGCGAAAGAAATGGCTGAAAACAGTACAAATATTGAGAACTGCAAGACAACAATTTCAGTTTCGTCAACAGAGGTTCCAAAACCGTTAATTGTAAACCACAAAACTCAAAGAACTTGTGGGATTAAATCCGAAAAATTCAATACATCGTCGAATGATATAAGCACATCTCTTAAAGATGGAAAAGACCGCTTGGAAAAGCCGGAGTTTTTTCAGGAAATATTGAGTTCGAGTGAGGAGGAGCTGAGAGATCTTTGCTCGGAACTGAAAAAAACCTTTGACACCTCGAAAGAAATCCCGCGAGTCATCCCGCAAGAGAGTTCCGCAGAAATCCCGCGACGAACAAAAAATGGGAAGGTTTGCAACACTGAAAACCAAGTCGTGGACATTGATAAAGAAGTTTGTAGAAAGCGCTTCAAAACGAATCGAAGAAGCTTTAAGAAAAAAATCAAATTTTCAAGACCATCACTGAACTTGCATAAAATGTTAGCGACAAGATTTTCTCTAAACAGGGATTTTATAAGCAATGGAAATTTCTGCCCAATTGACAAATCATGACTCTTTTTCTCTCTGTGTTGATTGGCAATGCGTAAACAAATATATATTTATACCATCGTAGCAATAGCAATATAATATAACATTTAATGATTACTCAAAGTTATAAAAATATACAAACGCTTCAACTACTGTTATACATTTTACTCTCCTATCTATCCCGCTTCTGATTGGCCGAGAGCCAAACCCTGATGTTGTGTGAACTTGACCTCGACGTGATAAATGTATTATCTTTACCTGTTACATCCTCAGTAAATAAAGTGTTATTATTATTATTGTTGTTGTTGTTGTTGTTGTTGTTGTGGCGGTGGTGATGATGGTGATGATGGTGATGATGGTGGTGATGGTGATGGTGATGGTGATGGTGATGGTGATGGTGAT